CTAAGAGCAATGCCGGGGGGGATTACTATAACAGATTTTAAACTGTACTACAGAGCTATTGTCATAAAAACAACATTGTATTGGGACAAAAATAGACCGGTAGATCAATGGAACAAAACTGAAGACCCAAATATGACTACATGCAATTTTAGTCACCTGATATTTGACAAAGGGGTCAAGAACAATCAGTGGAGGAATGACAGAATCTTCAGCAAATGGTGCTGGCAAAACTGGATCTCTACCTATAGAATAATGAAAGTGGACTCTCATCTTTCACCTTGTTAACAAATGGGACCTCATTAAACTAAAAAGCTTCTGTACATCAAAGGAGGCAACCAGGGAAGTCAACAGAAAACCCACAGAATGTGAGAAAATCTTTACCAGCGACATATCTGACAGAGGTTTAATATCCAGAATATACAACGAACTCAAAAAACAGAGAATCAAGACAAGAAGCAACCCAATTTAAAAGATTGGCTAAGGAGCTGAACAGAAAGTTCTCAAAAGAAGAAGTAAACATGGTTATGAAACATCTTAAAAGATGTTCAACATCACTAATAATTAGGGAAATGCAAATTAAAATCACTGTAAGATTTCATCTTACCCCAGTCAGACTGGCTAAGATCAAGAGAATAAATGATACCAAATGTTGGCGAGGATGTGGGGAAAGGGGCTGGAGGGCTGCAAATTTGTTCAACCCCTATGGAAAGCAGTATGTAGAACTTTTAAAAAACTACTAATGAACCTACCATTTGACCCAATTATACCACTCCTTGGCATATACCCAAAGAACTCATCCTATTGCAGAGACACTTGTACATCCATGTTTGTTGCTGCTCTTTTCACAATAGCTGATATTGAAACAACCTAAGTGTCTGTCAATTGACGAGTGGATAATGAAAATGTGGTTCACTTATATGATGGAGTTTTACTCAGCAGTAAAGAAAGATGAAATTATGAAATTTGTAGGTATATGGATTGAACCAGAAACTGTTATACTAAGTGAAATAACACAGACTCAGAAAAAAACTCAACATATGTTCTCCTTCATGTGTGGATCCTGGAACCAAACCCTGATAAGTGAGTATGTATCCAGGCATAACTACGGGAACCAGGATAATGGAAAGGAACCAAGGAGGTAAAGGAAAAGAAAGAACCTGAAAGAGAAGAACAGTAGGAAATAGGCCTTAGTAAGGGCGCTATGGATAAAAATTGGGTTAGTTTAAGGGAGCGGGGAGGGAAGGGTATACAAGGAACTTAGGGGATAAAGGGAAAGAAGGAGCTCAAGAGAGGTAGGACCACAGGAAATGGGTATTAGTAAGGGAGAAAGGGGATATTTCCAGAATTGACAGAGAAATGAGAAAGTTGGGCAGGTGATGAAGGTCTGTGTAGGGTTGTTACAGTATAACAAGGATGAGACAAGGATAATGTGTAGACAATCTTAAAATTTCTAAGGTCACAGCTTAGTCAACTAGTCTAAGGATGTCTAGCAAGGTTTATTTAAGGATGTTTCCCAAGCTCTATCTACATAGCATATGGTAATTAAAAGCACCAGATTGGTGTAACTAACCTTGTTGGATGTTTAATAGCCAGACTCTAAGGCCTATATTAATCTGGTCAGAGGGACTTAAAGGGACAAATTTTTGTTTCTGGCCCTCCAAGGTCAAACAAGTTCCAGGGGCTATGGCACATCTCTCGAAATGTCCTGTAACTTTGGAGAGTCACCTGTCCTCTTGTTCGGGGAGGCCATGGAGACCCCAGAAGATGGACTTGAACCAGTGTCCAGTCTACAAAAAGGAGGGTCAACATAGAGGAATCATTCCCTCCATGCTTCTAAGTGAAGCCAACCATGGTCGAGCACAACCTTTGACTTATCTTCACATAGGCAGAACTGGTAAAAGAAAGGAGCCAGGCTCCTCCCAAGCCCATGTGATCCCTGAGGAACAGATCCTCAAATGACCTTAAGAGTAAAAATAAATTGGTTTATCTGGGCCAACTGTTTGGCCTTAAACACCCAAAAGGAAAGTATAACCAAAGATGAAAGGGGCCAATATAATTTCTTAAGAGTTCATAAGATTACACTTCCCAGACATTAGGCTTAAGCCCATATAAAATGTTTAGACAATTATTTCTCATTGATGTTTTTGTTTCTAGTCACAAAGTGCTGAGTAACCCAGCATAGAACTGGGAAAAGGAACAGCAGACCCCAATCTTTTCTTAAGGAATATTGACAAGTGATTGCTGCTAGATGAGGAACAGCTGACCCTCCTAAAACAAAGACCTCTAGATAGGCTGACTAGATTCACCAGATGGACAAGTAGTGCGGAATGGTTGGGGGTGCCGACAACACATCAGACAGTATCAGGGATACCAGAGTATAAGGGCTCTAGTGGGGGGGAACGAGGCTATGGGAGGGTGCTATCTGGGAAGTGGGTGTATAGTTGAATAAGATGGTTTGGGACGTTTTGTGATACACACACACACACCCACAAAAAAAAAAATCAAATTTTTTAAAATGTGTTATATTTGAGGAGGAAGCATGGAAATTTATGCCATGTTAATTAGTAGAGGTGATACACATTACCACTGAAATGTACCCGATGACTTTATAGACATACAGGTGCCAAGGATCCAAGTGCAACGGATTATTACTAGTAATAGCTACATACAGATTAGAGATGCATGCGCCAACATCTCAGTGTTAGTAGCAAAAACAATGAGTCTTCCTGCAAGGAACAGTATATTCTAAAATGAAATGGAGATCTTTTTCACAGGTTACAAACTCATTCAAATATAACA